TCAGCGTACCTTCAGCGTACTCTCAGCGTACCTTCAGCGTACCTTCAGCGTACCTTCAGCGTACTCTCCATAGACGTATGGCAGTAATAGTGATTCTGGGTCTCGGTTAGAAGACTTTCCCAAACTTAAATGATAATGATGTAAAGTTCAGCGCTACTATTTGATTTTATTTCCCGACTTTACTAAATACTTTCCTAAAACTCACTGATTGCTTTCTAGAACTTTCTCTAAAGTCGACATGTTTCTGCTTTCTAAGAGACTGATGCTTATTTACCTTAAAAAAAAAAACAAAGAAGTTACTTCTAGAAATAAACAGGTACTTTCCGTTTTCAGTCACCATGTTTTCAAGGGTTTATAGATATTGAAACTAGATTATCTCAGATAAAGGTTTAGTTATCCACCAACATTCTGTAGAGTTTTAAAAGTACCACCGTGTATTTAGTGAGAGCTGATCTAATTATCCGTCAGCTTTCATCTCAAACCTTTTGATCTGCAGAAGATCTGATGAATTCATTTCATTTATTCATCATAAAGTGAACACCTTTTAGCATAACATCTATAATTATTATCTGCTGCTGAGAAAATCAATAGAAATCCACAAACATCAGGCAGAACATTTCTAACAGCTGGAATAAATCTGATGCATTTTCTAAATTGGAGGCCATCAAAGTAGAGCTACGCTTCCAGAATGTAACCAGCATCTGTACGTCTTAATTATCAGCAGATCTTTAGCTTCCATGAGAAATGACACAAAGCTTTTACCAAAGCGCTGATAACACCTGCTGCTCTGATCAGGTAAAAAATGATCTTTATGTTTAAAATTAATTCCATTTAGTTTAGGAAGTTATAATAAACCATAAAGTTCTAAAGTTTTTCTCCCAGATGTTGTTTATGAGGATCACAGACGTTTTAAATAAAAACTCAGAAGTTCGCAAAGCAGAAATGATCCGGGATGGAAATCCTTCATCCAACGCCGTGTTTCTATATAGAACTATGAATTCTAGACTTTAAGAACAACTGTGGAGGTTTCAGTTTAATGTAGTAAAAATATTAAATTAGTTTTTAAAAATATATTAAAAGAATGGCGATGAAGACAGGGCCAAGGGGCCCCACGACAGAAGGGGCCCATGGAACAGGGGCCCCACAACACACGGGGCCCTACAACACACGGGGCCCTACAACACACGGGCCCCACAACACAAGGGCCCCACAACACATGGGTCCCACGGCACAGGGGCCCCACAACACATGGGGCCCATGGAACAGGGGCCCCACAACACATGGGGCCCATGGAACAGGGGCCCCACAACACACGGGGTCCACGACAGAGGGGCCCCATAACACACGGGGCCCTACAACACACGGGCCCCACAACACAAGGGCCCCACAACATACAGGGCCCACGACAGAGGGGCCCCACAACACACGGGGCCCACGGCACAGGGGCCCCACAACACACAGGGCCCACGACAGAGGGGCCCCACAACACACGGGGCCCACGGCACAGGGGCCCCACAACACACGGGGCCCCACAACACAGGGGCCCCAGAACACACGGGGCCCCACGGCACAGGGGCCCCACAACACACGGGCCCCACAACACAAGGGCCCCACAACACACAGGGCCCATGACAGAGGGGCCCCACAACACACTGGGGGCCCCACAACACACAGGGCCCACGACAGAGGGGCCCCACAACACACTGGGGGCCCCACAACACAAGGGCCCCACAACACACAGGGCCCACGACAGAGGGGCCCCACAACNGGGCCCCACAACACACAGGGCCCACGACAGAGGGGCCCCACAACACACGGGGCCCACGACAGAGGGGCCCCACAACACACGGGGCCCATGACACACGGGGCCAATGACTAATGGGGCCTAACTCTAACCCAGTTGTCATGGTAACAGGAGCTTATCAAAGGCCCTTCACATTAACTGATTAATAACGGATCCTGAGGGAAGGCCCCATATGTCAATCAAACGGTTTGGCCATGAAGGGGTTAACGTCGTCATTCTGACTGAATAAAAAGTTATTAAAGATAAAAACGTTGATTTACAGTAAAATAAACTCCACTGATTGGGACTGAAATTAACAATAAAAACATTCGTTTAATAAAAACTTTTCCCGGAACATTTTGGTTTTATAGTAACATTTTTCTTTGATCTCCATCAAGTTACACATTAAATTACTGATAAAACGATCGTAGAAAATCATCATCATCATCATCATCATCATCATCCAGGACAGAAAAACAAACCGTTTCACATCCATTAACCTGAAACCCAGATAGTAGCAACAGATCGCTCCAACTTTCACACAGCGAACCAGCATAAAGCCCAGGTAGCCGCCCGGCTAGCAGCATGGCTAGCAGCCGCCCGGCTATCGGCCGCCCGGCTAGCAGCATGGCTAGCAGCATGGCTAGCAGCCGCCCGGCTAGCAGCCGCCCGGCTAGCAGCCGCCCGGCTAGCAGCCCAGGTAGCCTCACAGGTAGCCGCCCGCAGGCGGGGCTGAATACATAGAGCCTTTAAAGTGGAACTGACCTGATGGCAGTGTGGGTTGGACTCCCTGCTGTACGAGTACGAACTCCTCTCCGATTTACCTAGACGAGGAAAAAAAGCAGTTAGCCATTTTCTCATTTTATCTGATGACTGCAGATCTGCAGGAGGAGCTGCAGTTATAATAAAACCAGGAAGTTTATTGATTTCCTGCAAATCTGATGAATTCGCTTCTTCCACACAGAAATATCCACGACTTTTCCCACCCTCTGGTTTCTCTTCCAGAACATGAATGACGTTTAAAGAACAACCTAAATATACAAATAATTACTTTATCATTATCTATACTTATAAATTCATTCAATTTATTTTAAAAATCATATATATTTCAAATAACATTTCACGATCTAATAAATAAACATTATTGGTTTTTAATCATTCATGGAAACATTTGATTATTTAATTGTGCATTTTAAAATTTAATTGTATAATTATTAACAAAGTATAATCAAATTAATATGAAATTCGTATTTAAATAATGTAGTAAATTAATAAATAAAACCGTATTTCATGATGTTTATTAATTGAGAGCCTGCTTGGTGTCTCCTTTATGTTTTAATGATCAAAGACCAGTTCAAAGCTTGAATTATTTCCATAACTAACTGGATACTTTTTAATCTTCCAGGTCACTTCCTGGAAATCACTCATTACTTTAAGGAACAGAGGAATATTTATCCATCTGTTCTTCTTCTTCATTAATCCTAAAGAGAAAAGAAACGTTGCTGCATCTCCTGTTCTGGATGTTGGTGTCTGACCTCCTGTAGAGGTCTGTCTCACAGCGTCTCTGAGGAAGCCTCTGATTCTGCTGAAGGTCCCTTAATGAGGCCTGAAGGTGCCGTTCTGACCTACAGCTTAATGTCCAACAGTAACAGGTTTGGTTTCCTTGGAAACGATATTCTGACCGATGCTAATCAAAACTAGCCTGATGATTTCAGGAGTTTATTAGGAACGTCCTTTAATCTTATAAGTTCATTCTGTGGAAACTGAAGGGTTAATGTCAGAAATGACTCTTTGAACCTAAAGAGGCATTACGGAGTTCTCTAATGATGCTGCCACCTGTGGCCAAAACACAGAACTACAGCACAAGTTTCCATCGGTCGCTTCCAGTTATTCACCAAATCCGTCTTGAATCCAACGCTTCAGTTGTTTGCATCAAACATGGCCGCTCTGACATCACATCTGCCGAACAGAGCGGGAACTTCTGAGCTGAAGTTCATTCAGGAAAACCGGCTGATAGATGCTGAACCTCTGAGTCGTCAGTCTGACCATTAAACATGTTCCAGTCCTAACTGGAAACCATCGATGACTGGTCAACCTTATAATCTAAATTATAACCAGGTGCTGTTAAAAACATACAGATTATCTTCTAGAATATGCAGCTTGTTTCACAGAAGTTAGAGATTATTTTCTTCACTTTTAACTAAATGAAAATATAGAGAAGAAGAGAAATAAAATATTTCCTCATCAGTAGCTTAGAGGAAGGATTGATGTATTTGAGTCAAAGCTGCTCTGATCAGAGGAAAGAAAAGATCCGCCTGGAGAGCAGAAAACAAACACGCTTCAGCTCAAACACTCGGACGCCATATTGAAAGTGTTCCGACATGAAACCCTCTGATGAAGGGAAAACATAGATCTATAAACCCATCCGTTTTATTTAGAATGTTAATGCTGGTTTTTTCTGAGCCTCACTGGACGAGTGTTTGTCTTTAGAGACTCATTAGTCGGCCTGCTAAGCAACCGTCACTCGTCACAAACCCAATCGGAAAATAGCCAACCCTCCAAGAATCCTCGCAGCTGAGACTCTGATTATTTCTGGGATTTTTCTCTCTGCTTTTCACCTGAGACTTTAGAGCTGTTGGAATTACAACAGCAACGGAACGCGGAGAGGAAAAACCTGCAGCGCTGCTGCTGGTTAGGAGTTTAATCATTTCCATCCATTCATTGTTTCCAAACAGGTTTCTACATTTTAATAAACTGCTTCAGAGGAGTGATCATAGCGCTCTGCATCAGCAGCGCTGCGTCTGACTCCCTGCCAGCTCCCAGATCAGCTTCTCTCATTGGTCGATGCGGCGCGTCCAGCAGCTAAAGTTAAAAGTTTCCAGCAGCTGCTGCTTGTGAATTTTAGAAAATTTGAGCAAAGTTTCTGGGGGGAAATGATGGCGTCCCAAAGCCGAACATCCTAAAAACAAGGCGGACGATTTCTAATATTTTTAGTAACGGGTGAACAACAAACGCCCGTACGCATTGCTAGCTAATAGCATGCTTTGTAGCATTCTGCACTTTAACAGATGCTACTCATTGATCCCTTTTTGTACCTCACAATATATTAAATATACACTCAC